ACACACACACACACACACACACACACACACACACACACACACACACACACACACACACACACACACACAAAATAGATGGGGAAAGAGCAAAATGAAGAAAAAATAAGAGTGCTAAGATTTTGGGAAGGTTTGTATTTCAAAAACAATTGTGTTCAGATGGTGCAAAGGGAATAACTAAATGAAATAAATGTAAAAGTACTGATAATAGTATCAAGAAACTGAGAAACGGACAATACTTTCAAAATAAATTGTCTCAAAGGGGTAAAACAACCCAGTCTAGTAAATRAAAAACAGACACCAAAAACTTCGACCAAACACCACTTTTTCTTTTTGCATTTTTGTAACGAGTGAAGTTGTAGATGTGATGACTCTAGCTTTGTTTCCATAAAATTGCAAATTCTGTACTTTTAAATRCCTATAATCAATAAAAGTATAAATCTGTCTAATTTTTATAGTTAAATGAAAACAATTTTAGCAGCATTAGACTTTTTGAAYAAAGTTCACAACAATTGTCCTCATTGTCATCCTACTAACTCACTTGGCTACACTTGTGCTGCTGCTTTTTGTTGTTGCACTGGGATCTAACTTATTTTTCAAAGCGGAAAACTTGAGGTAAAGTCTTGCTTTGACACTCCACTACTTTGCCATTGAGTCTTATCATGCATAATTGAAAGAGCTACTGAAAACTTGGATGATTGATCGTAGCCTGAGACCAAGGCATTTATAGTCTATCTCTCACACATGAAACAGAGCCAGTCATTTTACTGGACCCTTGCCCAGGGCTGAGCTCATTTTTATTAACACTATGACTCCCAGAGCCCTCTTTAATTCTGGACTTTGAACTTTAGTGTCATAACTTGCTCGACTCCTTGTAATGAAAATTAAGGGATCTTTAAACATTCCCATTTGGTGTGGTGTGAGGATGTAAAGAAAATTTAACCAACATAATTTAAGACCAAAATATTAGGGAATTTGTTTGAAGGTTTAAACCATTTTTGAAGCATATATTACAGCACATTTATGTAATGAAACCCAGTGATAAAGGTCAATTTTACTTGTGCTTTATTGATGTGACAGTAATACTGATTATCTCAACTATTAATGAAGCCACAAGCATATTTTTACTTGTTCAATCTGAATATGCTCACATAAGAGTCAGAAGCCCTGGGTTGATTTACTGAGTAGATCATCAGCTTTAGAGGACTGCTAAGTGCAATATTCATTGTTAGGGGTAGTTAATCCAGATTACCTCAAGATGTCCTGTTTAATCTGTTCCTTACTACATACCTTTTCTCAATTTAATATTTGAATGTGCATTTAAATAATCATCATCCAACAAGTGGAAGCAGTCCAGAGTCCAAAAATAACAAAACATATGAATATTTATGCATCGTGAAATTTGTGAATAACTTCGGTTTCCAAGCAGTAAATAGATAAATAAATCTTGTGCACCTTATCATCTGATAAAGTTGCCTTGGGGTCTCAAAACAATTTCCGTGACAATATACAATTGTCAAATGGGACCCAAACAGGACACTGACTCTGCATGGAATAAGTCACAGGTGTTTATTTAGGCTCAGACATCTGGCTGCAGAACTCAATCTGAATAAATGTTTAAAATTCAAAATGAAATGCATTGTGTCCTCCTCAGTTTTGCATAAAGCARGATGTGATTCGACTGCTATACACACTGCGGCATCGGAGTTGGAAGCAGGTGTGTTCTCCCATGTCCGAATTTAAGCAAAGACTCGAGCATTGTCGCCATTTAAACCATTCTGTCCACTTCCTGTTTTGTGGATTCATTGACATCTGGTAAACCCCTGAATGCACTGGCTCCAAGTAAACAAACAAAAAAAATGTTTCAAAATACTTTTTTTCATGAGGTTATAGAACAGTCTTTACTAACTTTGTTTTTGTCTCTTTAATRTGTCCCTTCTTTGTATCTCTTTGTACTATTTGTCTTTTGTTATATTCCCCACGCCTGTCTTCCATTTGTCTTATTCTATCTGCCAATGCACCGYGTCTCTCTTGTCGTCCCCATACATTTAGTCTCTCATGCACTCAGCTGTTTGAGGAGGTTTTGTGTGCGTTCCCACCGTCACTGAGCTTGAGAGATTTTTATTTAAACTTACAGCCGCCCTCTGTGATGGATGATAAAACACCACCTCCACCTCCCCGAGGCACAAGCACACACAGTCACATGCACAACAGTAATCGTTATTAGGGAGATGGATGAAGAATCTCTTCTCGCTGGGGAACTTGATGTCAGCTCTTTGATGTTATGAGGTTAAAAAAAGACGAAACAAGAGGATAATAAAACAACTAAAAAGCTTGAGAGGAAAGTGAGGAAAAATTAGGGTGTAATAAAAGTTTGTTTCTTTTCTCCTAAAATGTCACKCATGAATATTAATAACTAAAGACTGGAAATTATGACTGCAGAAATTAATAACATGATCCCACCTAT